TTATTCTTAAAACCTTTGTTTTAACTTCAACAAGAAATCCATTCTTTTTAATCAAAGGATTTAATCCACCCCCTTATTCAAGTACCATCTTAACTCTGTCTGCTCTAATCAACTAAATAATGAGTTGATTTTTCTTATTCTACAAAGACTTAAAAATGGGAATGGAAAGAGGTTTCTGCTGGGATAGTATTTCTGAATTTGGTACTTTTGAATATATTTGGTGAGATGATCCCAAAATAAAAATACTCTATAGAATGGTGAAACCCAATTCAAACAAGAGGTTAAAATACGTATCTGAATATGTCTGAGACCTGAGGAAGGGTGCACTGGTACCCAGAAGCTTGTTTACATCCCTGTCGACTACGCAGTTGGTACAATAAAAGATAACTCTCAAAAATCCTTGCCGCTAGTAGAGAAAGCCATGTTCAGAATGACAAGTCATCAGATGTGGTAAGTCTTGTCATACTGTTTTCCTGATAGCTGCTGATCTTATTGTTACTGTGTTCTGGCAGGAACAGCATGTACCTGTACTGTGTGATAAAGGAAAATGTGACTTATTTCAGCTTTTTTTATGAGAAGATATCATAGGGATACAAGGGCATCCCAGGACATACAGAAGATGGAACTAGTTAGGGCTGTTTCTTGGAGGCATAGATTATCTTCCAGCCCTTGAGAGTTGCTGGAGCTCATTAGCCTCTCCGGAAGCAGAACTGGGCCATGCAATGACAGCATGGCTAACACAGAGTGCTTTCCTGTTTTGGCTGCCTTTTGTACAGCAGCTCACCACATCAAGTTGTATGGGGTGGAAGTGAGGGAAGGGGAGGGTGGAAAGATGCATTCTTTGGGTATTCCCCTGCTATCATCTCATGTACTCCCGTGTGGAGAAACTCTGCATTGTGTTTGGGGATACCAGTGTTCCTTCTTAAGGGAATTTGCAGGAGCCTTGGATCTGATTCCCATAATCTGTGATTGTCCCATCGTCTACTTTTTATTTAATTCCCCTATTTACCTGAATCCAAGATGACTTTGAATTTAAGAGTCACCCCATCTCGCCCAAATTAGATTTTTATACATGGAAAATGTTTCCATTTCTTATGCTTTTCTATGTAAATTATCTAATTATTGGAAGGTCAACTTTTAAATGCATTCCCCCTTCCCCACCCCTTGCAGCAGGCAGCAGCAGTGGGGAAGCAAGTGGCAGGGGGGCAGACGGGGAGCCTGACCCTGGACCGTTGCCTCCATGCCACTTGCTCTTTTCCTGTTTGTTCTCCATGCACTGCCACATGGTGTGCTCCTGGGTGGCTCTGTGCTGGGTCCCTCATTGCTCTCCTGGCTCAGCAAGGAGACAACTCAGAGCCAGGGAGTGGCGGGGCAGTTGGCCCAGAGCCAGAGAACAGTGAGACCCAGCATTGAGTCCCTCCCTACTCTCTGGCTGCTCTGGCTCCAGGCTGGCTCCCTTGCTGCTCTCTGGCTTCCTTCTGCTGGCGTCCTGCTGAGCCAGAAGAGGTAGGAAAATGAGCCCAGAGCTAGCGGGCAGCCCAAGACCCAGTGCTCATTCCCTCGCTACTCTGGCTCCCTGCTGAGCCAAGGAGCAGTGAGGGATTCGGCCCAGAGCCAGAGTCTCGCTGGACTCGGTGCTGCCTGCAGGTACTCAGTTCTAAGAGGAGCCTTTTTTTTTCCCCATGATGAATGGGGCAAAAAAAAAGTTGTCTTGGAATCAAGTAAATACAGTAGCTAGTTAGTGGTACTAGTTTTCAGTCTTACATTTCCCAGTTAGTTTATGCTGCTGTCAGCAGTATTCTGAGCGAAGAATTTTTTGGTGCAAACCTCAGTGGCTAGCCATATAACAGTGAAAATAAAAAGACTGTGGAGTGGAGGATGCAGATGGTAAGTAAGACTGGCCAGGCCTTGTAGTCATTCATTTGCCAACTGCACTTGGTGGGTCTGGAATCATGAAGTGAGCCCAGACTAGTTGGATGAGAGCTTGTTGTGACCCTGAGCGATCACACTGGTGGCTGCAGAACTTTAGGGTGCAGAAAGCCACATTCTTGGAGTCATGCTGAGCTTAATTGGTGCAGTCCTTTATTGAAGCAACATTTGTTTTAGTAAGAGATGGTGGTATAAGGCCAGAGATGACAGATGGTGGAATATCAGGAGACAATGAGATGATACTGGTCAGCCTATGATAGGCAGTGATCTCAAAACAACATTAAATGTTTTCCTTGAAGTCTGCCCACTTACAGATAACTATTTATTTTACTTATTGGTATTCTACAATTAAATGTAGAAAGGTAATTTAATGAAGCATATATTTTTAATAGTTTGTAAGACGTACTTGTGTTGTTAGGAAGTGTCTCAGTAGTGTATGGTGTCCAGATCTGCAGAAAAGACACGCATTTAAAAAGTACATTGTCTACTGCTTCAGATGTGCGGGGGGGGGGGCGTGTTGTTTTTTCGCTCTGAATTATCTGCTGTAGAATCAATTATCTCGTCGTATTCTGTGTACCAATACCAAACATTGAGCGAGTAAAAAAAATCCTGTAATTCAGGTAGAGCAGTCCTGTTTGTATACTGTGAAGTGCAAGAGCAGTAAAAGAATGACTAACAGTAAGTGAGAACATTCAGATGTTAGTAGCACTGAATTTTATCTTTTTTGATCTCTTTATGTTCAGCCCTTTTACATTTTAGCCGTTTAATTAAAAACCTAGAGCAAGTGTAAAGGTTAGAGCTGCCATCTTATAGCTTGAACTCTGTTTTTGCCACAGATTATATTGTCGGTGCCATTACCTTCCATAACAACTACCCACCACAGTTCATCAACCTCTAGCCAGAGAGTCTGCTATTCAGTTTTGGTCCTTTAAGGCTGAGAGCCCTTTTGGTTTTATATATAGTCACTAGTAGTAATCCAAAGGCACACTTACACAGCCACCAGGTTGTGCACAGTACTACTACTGAGCAGTATGTCCTGACCTACCCCTTTATTCCCTCTTCACTCATGCCAGATCTGAATAAGGCAATGGAGGTGCTTTCCAATGGCATTGTTTGCATGCTAATATGCACGTGGCAGAGCCCAAGAGTCATGCTGAAGTATGCACCATTAGGCTGCTATGTCCTCTTATTTTGGGGGGATTGAGGACATACAGAGTAGGAGCAACTGGGAGGAGGCATGCTTCTTGTTGCCCTTTTGGATACTTTATGGAGGTAGTAGTCTTTTGTAGCATGTTTTCATCATCTAAACATGGATTAGTGAAGGTAACGGTTAAGATTAAAGATAATTTAGGTATAAGCTAGTTTAAATTTAACTAACCTTTTGCCTTAGTTTTTCAATAAGCATGACCAACTTAAACGTAAGAGTATATGAAACTGACTCATGGCAGTGATCACATGGAAGTGGAAACTACCACAGTGGGTGGAAACAAAATTCAGAAGTTCAGTATGCTCCATTTGCAGAGGATTAGGTAAAATCTCCATTCTGGAAATCTGAAAGAGCTGGCATGTGAAATGTCTGGTCCAGGAGCCATGATTTTTAATGTATCTGCTGAATTGGGGATCGTACCACCTGGCTGGAGAATAAGAAACATAATGCACATAATTTAGAGGTGGCGGGAAGCTCTAAGGAATTACAGGCCCCTCTTGACTCCAGCAGTACATCAGGCTTTAGAAAAAATATAGAAATAAAGAATGGTTAGACCTGGAGGTAAACCGAGAAAGGAATAGAGTACTTTTAGTAAACCCGTGTTGTAGCTTGCCATATGAAGCAGGTATCCACATATTTTAATAAGGTAACTGATTTTTTCTAGATGAGAAATGTGGCAGATCTAATCTGCACTTAGGTACAGTGCCATGTGGGAAAGTACTAGTTAAAATAGGCATTAGCAAAAACATTGTAAGCTAGCGGTCAGCAGTCTTCTTGGGCTGCAGGCCAGAATGACCCAGTTTTGGGTCAGAAGTGAGAGGGTGTGTGCTAGGACCCAGCCACTGCTGCTGCTTTTCCCTGTGCCAGCTTAAAGGGGAGGTGGCAGCAAATAAGGTAGAAAAAGGGAAGTATTGGACTAAAAGAAGCTATTGGAGGACAGGTCCTCAGAGTTCAGTCATATGAACTGATATTTGTGCTTATTATGCAGTTTGAGAGAGATTGTCAGTACAAAGAATGATTAGTCTCCATATGAGGAAATGTCTGACCTTGAGGATTGCAGGAATAGTAATGGAATTGCATTTAATATTAAGGGCATTTAATATTAACCTTTTGGACCAATAAAAATTTCTGCCCTGAGTTGAGGACTCATTATAGAGGAGAAGAGACCAGGGTGTTCTAACATATTTGATCACTGAGCCACCAATGTGATACTAACATGGAAAATTAAATTGGGGAGGTATGTAAATGCCAGGGAAGGGAACAAGCTATTTAAGGTAGAGAGCAGTGTTGACCCAAGAACAAATGGGGATGTATACTGAACATATTTAGGTTGGAATGGTTTTAAGCAGAGGAGGATTGAAATTCTGGAACAAACTTCCAGCTGTAAAAGGTGGGGCAAGAGATCAAGCTGGCTTCAAGATATGACACCTGATAAGTTTGTCAGAAAGTCCCCTGCAGGGGAGGAGGACTTGATGACACGGAAGATCCCATCTAGTTTCTAATTTTAGTCTGAAGAATTATGTGAAATACTTCAGTGTTGGTCTGGTTCCTGGTTGACCAAAGTATATGTCAAAAATTCCATACGAGATGTCAATTAAGCAAGTTGTGACAAGCTTAGGAGAGATGCCAAGGACTGGTATGAACAAAGAAGGTACTAACCTCGCATAACTAGAGGGAGCTTAAAGGTTAAGGTTTTGTGGAGGCTTTTATGGACCCTTCCCATTCCCCCAGCCCCAGGTGAAAGATGTTTTTGTTTAAAGGGCTTTCCATGTAGCAGTTCACATCAGCACTAGTTTTCATTATCACTGTTTTTTTTTTTTTAAATAGTTGCATAACTTTTTTTTTTTTTCTTTTTCTTTCACAGAACAGTTCGTGTCTGGCTGAAGAGAGACAGTGGGCAGTACTGGCCTAGCATATACCATGCAATGCCATGTAAGTATTTTAGGATGCATATTTACTATGACTCTGCCAACCAGTTTTTCTTTAGGTCTCGATGAGCACCTCTGTGCCTATGACCTTTTGGGAGCTTTCCATTGCATGCTTGATACTGTGCATCTCTGAAGCTTTTGCAGGCTAGGAACTGATACCAAATCCCCTACCTTTAATTTTTAATGTAAACTATTTTTCCTTTGTTTCTGTTACTATACCAAGTGTCAGTTTTGTGTTTAGAGACCAAAAGGAAGCCACAGTTCTTACCTTTTGAAGAGGTTAATATTATTTGCATATTAAATACACTGGGATGAACTGAACACAGTAAAGTAGGGGCTTGTTAGAAAATAAGATTGTTAGGCATATGCGCTGGTGGTTGGCGTGGAAGAGCATGCAAACAGTGGGAGAGAAGCATTGGGGCTGGCTTGGAGGGAAAACTTGAGATGAATTAAATAAGGGATGAAGAGCAAGAGGAAGGGACAGCAGAAATATGTGATGCCAATTGTAGTTGTATAAGGCTTTGAAACTAAGGAGAAGTTGAGGAAAAATCAGTAATTGAATTTGCAGAAGGTTTGTGATCTGATCAAAGCAACAGGGGGGGATGATTCTCCCTCACCTTCCAACTGTGCATTCTGGAGGGACTGGAAAGTATAAATTGAGGGCAGTGCAAGGGGAGAATATGATAGTAATTGTTTTGGTAATTTCCTGCCTCAGTAAGAAAAGTGAAGTGAGAGCATGGCTTCTGTAGATGAAAAGCACAAAGGATTTTTCAGCCATCTAAATATGGCAAAGAGCAGGCGCAAAAAAAAAAGAGGAAGAAAAAAAGCACCAAGTATGTGATCCTGACTTTTGAGGCTTATGGAATTTTGGCTTTATTAGAAGAGAGGTCAAGTTTAAGTTGGTGTAACCTTCTGGCTGGGAAGTAGAAAAGACAATGGGAGATTTGAAGAATAGGATAGAATTCAATAGTGCAAAAGAAAATCCATGTGCCAAAGGGAAGGCTCAAGGTTGGCAGCTGCACTTCTGAAGGTCATCAGTGTTGGAGAGGGAAGATAGTAGGTGGCTGAAATTCCTGTGTGGGAGATGCTCAAACACTTACACTTGTGAATCAAGTGCCAGAATTCAGTTATTCAAATTCTGCCATTAGAGGGGTAAATTAGGGTTTAGTCTTAAATATGAACCCTTCAGATTTGCCCCCCAATCCCACCATAGCAGGATAATCTTAAATGCTTAGCTAATTAGAAATTTACTATTGGTTACTTCAGTGTGTTGAAGAAAAGAGTGGTTAGGGAAGAGGGCAGTGCCCTGTTCCATCTGGCAAATCTTCCTTGCCTTCTGAAGGGATAGTGTAGTTGTATGAAATTTTAACCATGGTTTCGATAGTAAAACAATACATTTATCCATAGATTTCTGAAACAATGTTCTTTCCATCTCTCACCTAGCCTCAACCTTGTACTGTATGAGAACACTTGTTGAAAAATAAAAGCTTTCTCTGTTTAAGTAATAATCAAACAGTTGCCAATCACTTTCTAGAGTCATTGACCAACAGACCCATCTCCTTACTGAAATAGAATACTTAATTGTATTATACCTATTCCCATAGGATCTTAAATTTGACAGATTACTACAGCATTATATATTATAGTAGGAAGGTACAGAATTTCTTTCTACCTGTTATGTGCATATGTATGTTTGGTTAACGGAGAAAATGTACTAACAATATCCTCAGGAGGCAAACTTAATCTTCTTTTCCTAGTTTTGTGCTTGTGAGCAAGATTTAAAGGAGTATCTCTGCACTGTATACTCAGTGAGTTGTACCAAAAATGTGCTGATCTATGTCTTCAGCTGGCTTTAAGTCTGTAGTTCTATCAAAGTCAATGGGACTGGGCTGACTTTCAGCAGCTGTAGCTACTTTCGTCTTCCCTAAATAGCTGTATTGTTCCTTCAAGCAGAAACAGGGGTAAGTTGAGTGGGGCCCCGGCCAGGTAAGACTTACCTGCTGGGGAGGCGCACCCCCCAACTTCTTTCTCAATGTGCACCCCCCCCCCTCCCCTTCCTCTCCACAGACTTACCTGCTGGGCAGGGGGGAGGGAGGGGAAAGGAGGGGGTGGCGGTGGCACACCGTAGATCTTGGTTTGCTTTTTAAATGCCAACGGTGATCTCCTACTTAAAAAGGTTGGAGACCACTAATCTAGCAGACTGGTATTTTCTCTGGCTGATTTTTCATACCTGCATAAATTGTGGTCTAAGTTCCTGTTCACATCTCTGATCTACACCTAAAATGGTTGTTTTGTGTATTACTGCAAACAGTATTGAGAACCTTTGGTCAGCTTGAGTTCTCTCAGATTAGTTTTGAGCAGGACTCAAAAAGGCTCTCCCCACCCCCTTTTTAAAGAATCATTCTGGCATATGCCCCCCAAATAACTGTTTGAAAATAGTTTGGGTCCATCACATATATTGGTCATTCCTTATTTCTTTCAAAATGCATGCAAGGGTAGTGATGGGACTAGAGCAAGGCCAACTGAATTGTCATTAACTATGCCTTTTCTAAAATGTGACTTTAGAAGTTACTGGGTCGTGAGTGAGCATCATCTCTGCTCAAGTATCCGCTGTGCCAGAAGTAGCCTTGCTGTCTCAGAGTGACACTGCCATGCTGTGGATCCTCTTGGCTGTAGCTTTTCTGGTTAGAAGAAAGCACCAGCAGACTCTCATAAGGAGGCTTAGTGTGGGAATGTAGCAGGGGAAAGAGCGCCTACTTGTTGCCAGAATGCTCTGAAATTCTCAGGCCCAAGCAAAGCTATCCCATTGCATTTGCATGTGGCTATTATGGTATCACTATTAAAGGCCTTAGACATACAGGATGCCTTTTAATCAGGAGAACCCAAAACCTAATGTCTATGTACTTCTTTCTTTCAGCTCAGCTCCTAGAGCTGTGAAGTTGATAGCAAAGAAACCCAATGCCAGTGGCTGGGGTGGAAGGGGTGGCCCACCTTTAGACCTAACTGTATTTGTTCACCCTGCCATTTGTAATAACTGCAGACCCCTGCTCTAGATGGTTGCTCTTTAAAATCATAAAGTCCTCAAGACCTAAGCACTTAAGTGCTGTTTAAGGTTCATTTTTCTTGTAAGTACAATACCTTCAGGCTCATGAAAGGGAAGAACCATGTAGTAAGGAGAAACATGCTTTAAAAAAAGCAACTAACCACCGGGGTCTCCACCCAAACGGACCCCATGGTTCCGGCCTATACCCAAATGGAGCCTGCTGTCCCTGCCCCCACCCGGGCAGGGCCCATGGCCCTGGCCTCCACTCAGATGGAGCCTCTGGCTCCATGTGGAGGCTGCCTAGCAAGACTGCAGGCAGCTGGGTTTGGGGACACTCATACCTCCCCTTGTGGGGTGTACCCAATGGTGGCAGCCCTGGAGTGCCAGATTAGGGAACTTCAGGCAGCAGTCCAGTTGCTGCGCTCCATTAGAGATGCGGAGCAGGAACCGGACTCTTACTTTCAGGCTCTCCACCCGATGGCTCATGAGCGAATGGCGGAACCAAGGAACCACCACTAAGTCCAGCCTGGGACTGCCTGGACAAAGGTTGTCTCCAACCCAAAGAGGCGCAGCAACAGGGTTACACTCCCCTGGAGCTACACAACCGCTTTGTACCTCTTGCATCAAAGGAGCCAGCCATACCACCGGCTCCAGCATGTGAGGACGCAGGGCCACCAGCACCTGTGCCTAGAAAAAGACAGAGTTATTGTGTTGGGCGACTCCCTCCTTAGGGGGACTAAGGGAGCAATCTGTCTCCCTGACCCCCTAGCCAATGAAGTCTGCTACCTGCCTGGAGTTCGTGTCTGGAATGTGATAGAGAGGATCCCCAAACTCATCCAGCCCTCCAACCACCATCCCATGCTACTCATCCATGTGGGCACCAATGATACAGCACGGAGAAGTCCAGGCCGGTTCATGTGTGACTACAGAGCTCTGGGAGCTGAGCTCAAGGGTCTGGGGGCATAGATTGTTTTTTCTTCAATCCTCCCAGTCACAGGTCATGGGCTCCAGAGGGGCAGGTACATCAGTGAGGTGAATAGAAGACTCCGGAGATGGTGCCATCGTGAGGGGTTTGGCTTCCTCAACCACGGTCCTCACTTCAGAGAGAGCAGACTGTTGGGAAGGGATGGCCTCCACCTTGCCTAGAAAGGGCTCTTCTCGGCCACAATGGCTGACCTTTTTGACAGGGCTTTAAACTAAGACCACTGGGGGACGGGTGGTATACTAACAGTTCTAGCCTAGGTCATGTCAGCCGCACTACCAATAACTTGGGTAGCCCAAGGGAACCCACTCTGGTGACAGCCCAAGGAAAGGTCCTGCTTCACCCCTCAGGGAAGCATTTGCCTTGTCATGGCAGACTTGCCTACCTGTACACAAATGCCAGGAGCTTGGGAAATAAACATGAGGAACTGGCCCTTCTCCTTTGTGAAAATGACTATGACCTTGTAGGGATTATGGAGACCTGGTGGGACATCACCTATGATTTGGTCGGTGGCTGTAGGGGGTTACACCTTGTATAGGAGAGACCATGTGGGGAAGAGTGGTGGGGGTGTTGCTCTCTATGTCAAGGATCAGTTCACCTCCCTGCAGATTGAGTTTTCTAACCAGGAAGGGTGTCTTGATACCCTCTGGGTCAAAATACAGAGAGAACATGGGGAGGGTGACATGCTTGTAGGAGTCTACTATAGACCTCCCCACCAAGAGGAAGAACTTAGATTGGGAATTCAATAGGGAACTGGTCAAAGCTGCGTGCTCCCAATGCATGATCGTCATGGGGGACTTCAGCTTCCCTGACATCTCTTGGAATGAGTGGATGGCCAAATCTGACAGGTCATGTAGCATTCTCACATACATTGACCTCCACCTAACCCAGGAGGCCTGTGGGCTGACTAGGGGAGATGCATTGCTTGATCTGGTCCTGGCCAAAGGGGAGGACCTGGTGAGCGATCTGAGGATTGAGG